TTATAATTATCTTTTTAAAATAAAAAATTATTTAATTTTTAATACCAAAATTAAAGGGTTTCTTTGATTAACAGTCAATTTTAGAAAGAGAGTTCGTATCAAAAAAATTTTTAAGAAAGTTTTATACAGTAAATTAAAAATATTGTAAATAAAATTGATAAATTTTATAATAATTAAGATTTATTAAGTTATTAATTTTTTGTATTTTTTTTAACGGAGTACAAATGAGGGGGTGGGGGTTCGATCTCCGACCTAAAAGCTGCGAGGATGTACTTTCAAGAAGGTTTAAAGCCATCGAACCACTAACTTCAAGTGCATTAATTTTTTGTATTTGATATTAAATTAATATAAAAAAGTTAAAAACTAAAGTTATTAAATAGATTTAATTCAATAGAAGAAAAAGTTATGAAAAAGGTCTTACATTGGAAAATGCAAAAAATTATGTTAAAATAATAAAATTTAAAAATATTATTTTTATATTTTATTTATTAAAGAGTATACAAATTTAGAGTTACATAAATATTTAAAAATTCTTACAAAATTTAGCACTTAAATTTTATGATCTAATAATTATATATCTTATTATCTTATACACCCTTTAATTCTAAAATTGAGATTCAAAACTTTCCTCCAAAAATTATAATCCATTTAAAAAAAAATTCTTACAAAATTAAAAACAATATTTCCTAATAAGTGTACCAAACAGCCTCAATAAAATATGACAACAACTTCTACTATTGTTACGTACTACTACTAAAATTTATTAATGGAGAGAGGAAAAATTGTTACGGTGATGGTAATAATTCGGACATTTTGTTGGAAGAAAAATCTCCATGCTTTAAATAAGTGGAAAATAAATAAATAAAAGTCTTTTTGATTCACTCATCCTAAAAGGTACAAACCGGTGTAGCCGGTGGAAAAAATGTGGAGTGACCGGTTACTGGTGGCATTCCCTGGTTAAAAATTTGACTGCGGTTGAAATGATTGCTGGCAGTTTTGACCATCCCTGGTTAAGTCTCGATTCCTCAGACACAACACACAGAGAAAGAATCAAAGGCAGAGAGAGAGAGAGAAAAGGAGAGAGAGAGAGAGAGAGGAACTTCTGTGTACGAGCTCTAAGCCTCTAATTCACCTGCTGCAATTTCCTGGCTGAAGGGAGATAGAGGCCGACGAGGTGTTCTGCAGAGGCCAAAGGTGAAAGCGACTAGAGAGAGTGGACGATTGATTCGTAAATCAAGAAAATTTACGGTGAATTCAGGGATACACAATAAATATAGTGACTGTAGCATTTCCTCGGAGCCTGGAATTTGGGGTTTTCTGATCTGATCGAGGGTGTTAAGGGAGGGAAAGTCGAGGAAGAAAAGGTGGTTGCTTGATTGTTTTTGAAACTGTAGAGAATTAGGGGGTTTTTCACGGAGGTGATGGTCGATTGAGGGAATTTCGTAGCGAAGTTTGAGACTTTAGTGTTTGTTTGGGTTTTGAGTGAGTTGTTTAGAGTAGCAGATGAGAGATCTGAGCTGAGATTTGCAAACAAATGACGACTTCCGATATTTCTATTAAAGTAAATTCCGTCAACGGAAGAGGAGACAGTTTTTCTTCGGGTTACGGCGAGCTCACCAATGGTAGAACCACCATGGATGGTCAGAATAGTCATTCCGCTCCTTCCGACACCGTCCTAGGTAAATTTTGCCTGATTCTGGCTCCATTTCTGGTTCATAGAAGTTGAGGTTGCCGGTATTTCACCGGCTGATCCGTGTCTTTATCTCTGGTTCCTTTTTTGCTCATTCCTTTCATTTTGTGTGCGCGTAGACCCTGAAACGGCGCTTTACAGGGAGCTCTGGCATGCATGTGCTGGTCCTCTGGTGACCGTTCCTCGGGTAGGAGAGCTTGTGTTTTACTTCCCTCAGGGACACATAGAGCAGGTTTGTCTAAGCTTCTGCTTTTCCTAATTTGTTTCTTTTTCTTCACTTTTTTTCTTCTTTGCGGCTGAAATTCCAAGTCCTTTCTGGTTTTTGATGGATTATTTTCTTATTATTATGTTCAGTTTAAATATTTCTCCTAGGGATGATGGTGATTTGACAGGGTTTTGGTTTCTGACTATTTTTGCTCATCATTTGTTTCTATTTGCGGATTTGGTATAATCTATTTTTATGTAATTAGGTTGAGGCGTCCACTAATCAGGTTGCAGACCAGCAGATGCCAGTTTATGATCTTCCTGCAAAGATCCTTTGTCGTGTGATTAATGTCGCGTTAAAGGTACCATTACATCCGCATATTGTTGTTAAATTAGGATTTAAGCTGTGGGTAACTTGATGTACACGTTTTATTTTCTTGGATTTTGATCTTGAAATGGTGATAAATGATAAATTTACTTTCTATGAATAGGCTGAACCGGATACTGATGAGGTGTTTGCACAAATAACTTTGCTTCCTGAGTCTAATGTAAGTGAGATCTCATTTTTTTTTTTCTTGTTAATATTTGAGGAGTTGATTTGAAGTTGATATTATGGTAGTTTTTGCTTTTGCTCTAATGGTTTCAGCAAGATGAAAGCAAGGTGGAGAAGGCGCCTCCCCCACCACCACCCCCTCGGTTCCAAGTACATTCATTTTGCAAGACTCTGACTGCCTCTGATACAAGCACCCATGGTGGCTTTTCAGTGCTTAGGCGGCATGCGGATGAGTGTCTACCACCTTTGGTTAGTATTTATATGCTTAGGATACGTCATTTCTGTTGTTTACCTCATGGAGGCTAGGTCTAATTTTGTATTGGGCTTTTCATTTGACAGGACATGTCACGTCAGCCTCCAACACAGGAGTTGGTTGCTAAGGATTTGCATGCAAATGAGTGGCGTTTCCGGCATATCTTTAGAGGTAATGCTGTTATCTTCAATATTTGGCTGTAAATGCACGCATATTTTTGTATACTCAATGCCCTAGATATGGTTTCTTTGTTGTGTGTTCATGCATATTCTGAGCAATAGTTGCATGTTTGCTTGGTGATTTTGTTTTCAAAATGAAATAGCAATGTAATTTTAAACATATCTCAACCTTATTTAATCAACATGATGGTGGAAATCAGGTCAACCGCGTAGGCACCTGCTTCAAAGTGGCTGGAGTGTTTTTGTTAGTTCTAAGAGGCTAGTTGCAGGCGATGCATTCATATTTCTAAGGTTTGGTTTCTTCCTCAGTTGTGCTAGGGAGATTATTGCTTTTGGCTTGTCTTGTCTCTGATTCTGGAGCTAATGGGCGAAGCTGACTTGTGATATCTAGGGGTGAGAATGGAGAACTCCGTGTTGGTGTAAGGCGGGCAATGAGACAGCAGGTCAATGTTCCTTCATCAGTGATATCAAGTCACAGCATGCATCTTGGTGTGCTTGCTACAGCATGGCATGCCATTTCAACAAATACTATGTTTACAGTTTATTACAAGCCCAGGTTTGTGTACCATTTCAAATTACACACACTATCATTTCATTTCCAAAGTGATGTTTTGTTGATTGAACAGCACATTATTAGTTATAAGGTCACTCCAAGGGGGGGGGGGGGTGATTACACTTCTGTCAATGTTGTTCAAACATTGAATCTGTTTTATTAATTGTTTGTTACAGGACAAGCCCAGCTGAGTTTATTGTGCCATTTGATCAGTACATGGAATCTGTAAAGATCAAGTACTCAATTGGAATGAGGTTCAAAATGAGATTTGAAGGAGAGGAAGCCCCAGAGCAGAGGTATGGCCTGCTGCTCAAGTCATTTTTGTATTAATGTTTCTTCCCCATCAATTATCGTTCTGCATTTTTCCATTGTGGTGCTGTGTTCCAGTGTTCATCTCTTCTTAATGCTGGCACATTCTGAAATTTGATTCGTTGTTTTGTTTTTCAGGTTTACTGGCACTATAGTTGGGAATGAAGAAGGTGATCCCAGTAGGTGGAAGGATTCACAATGGAGATGCCTTAAGGTAGGTTTTTTAAACAATGTTTCCCAATTTATAGAATCTATACGTAATAGCTGTTTGACTTGGTAGTTGCTTGGAAATTTTAAACAATCTTCTAATATTTGAATTGTAGGTGAGATGGGATGAGAATTCAACGATTCCTCGTCCAGACAGAGTGTCACCTTGGAAAATAGAACCTGCTGTGGCTCCACCGGCCCTCAGTCCACTTCCAATGCCCAGGCCAAAAAGGCCCCGATCAAACATGGTGCCTTCATCCCCGGACTCATCTGTTCTTACTAGGGAAGGTAAGCCATTGTATGTATGGTAGTTGATGTTAATTTACCTGGTGATATCAGTTGGGGTCTGAATTCAGTTTTGTAAATTGATTAGGTTCGTCAAAAGTAACTGTAGACCCTTCAGCAGCAAGTGGCTTTCCAAGGGTCTTGCAAGGTCAAGAATTCTCGACCTTGCGAGGCAACTTTGCAGAGAGTAATGAGTCTGACAGTGCTGATAAGCCTGTTGCTTGGCCACCTTCGGTAGAGGACGAGAAGATTGATGGGGTTTTGCTATCTAGAAGATATGGTTCGGAGAACTGGTTGTCCTCAGGCAGGAATGAACCAACTTATACGGATTTGCTTTCAGGCTTTGGTTCGAATACTGATTCATATAATCCATCTTTTGTTGATCAAACTGCTGCAGTCACTACTCCAACAAAGAAACAATTACTGGATCAAGAGGGGAAGTTTAACTTGCTCTCTGGCCAATGGTCCCTTGTGCCATCTGGTCTGTCTCTCAAGTTGCCAGACTGTACTGTGAAGTCTCCCATGCAGGGTAATGATATTCCTTATCAAGTACGAGGAAATGTTAGGTACGGGGGTTTTGGTGACTATTCCTTGCCTCTTGGTCAAAGGGTTGAGCACTCACATGGAAATTGGTTGATGCCTCCCCCAGCACGATCTCCTTTTGAGAACCCAGCTCAGTCAAGAGAATTGATCTCCAAAACAATTTTGACACAAGAACGCGAGAGTGGGAAGCCGAAAGAAGGGAACTGCAAACTCTTTGGTATTCCACTCATCAGTAATCGTGTTGAAACAGAGCCTGCTGTCCCCAGTAGAAATTTGTTGAATGAGCCTTTGCATGCTGCATCACACCAAGTTTGTGCTTTTGAGTCTGATAAGAAATCTGAACAGACAAAGGGCTCAAAGTTGCCAGATGATCAACCTGCTGTTGTTGAGCAGGAGAAACCAATTCAGATGTGCCAGCCCCATGGCAAAACACAAAGCAATTCAACACGGAGCTGTACTAAGGTTAATTGCATCTCTATATCTTTTCCTTTAATTTCTCATTTGTTACTAATATGAAGTTTCGCATTTTATTTATAGTTTTGAGAGTAAGAACTTAAATGAAAATTTATTGTTTCAGGTTCACAAGCAGGGGATTGCCCTCGGTAGGTCTGTGGACCTGACTAAGTTCAACAACTACATTGAATTAATTGCTGAGTTGGATCAATTGTTTGAATTTGGAGGTGAATTAATGGCTCCTAAGAAGAATTGGCTGATTGTTTATACTGATGATGAGGGTGACATGATGCTTGTTGGAGATGATCCCTGGCAGTAAGGATTCTCGCCTGAACTGAAATAAAATGTTTGTTTATTGATTTATTTTGGTAGTATACATGCTAAGGAATTGGAGCATCATCTTGTTCATTCATGTGAATCAGGGAATTCTGTGCCATGGCACGCAAGATTTGCATCTATACAAGAGAGGAGGTACAGAAGATGAATCCAGGGACCCTCAGTTCTAGGAGTGAGGAAAATCCAGCAGGTGTTGAAAGTGGTAATGCAAAAGAAGTGAAATGCTCATCTGCAACTAGTGTAGAAAATTGTTAAGACTTATGTATTAATGGTTTTAGGTAATTCTTTGTCTCCTCAAGATGTTCATTCTAGTGATTCACTCATTTACTATGCGTTCTTTTAATTTACACGAGTGATAAATTTATTAGTTGCATTTGATGCCATTCACCCCTCATTTTATGTGTTTTCAGGTTCTATGGATGTGGAAAGTAGCTTGCAGAGCCCTTTGGATGGTAAATGAAGCAGTGGCTAATTGAGATGGAATTGATTTATGATTCCACTTCTATTCAGATATAGATGGGAGAAATGATAGTATATCCAATTTTGGACAGTATGGTGGAGGCAGGGGTAGCGTATGGTGTCAAGTAATATACATAAAAGTATGGATGTATGCCCATACTTTTAAGCATATGGCTATGATATGCAGCTTTGCTTTGTACAGAGATGTCCCTCTTTTTTCAACCGCTGAATGTAAGTAAAATACATTATGATCTAATATCCTTTTTGAGTAAGAAATGCAGTATCTGTTGGGTATTATTCTAATGCTATTTTTAGTCAGCAGACAATGAAATATGATATGATCAAATGGTTGGACAGGTCCATTGAATCCAGCCAGCTAGTTGAGGGAAATTCTGTTCTAGTATTGACTTTTAACATAAAAAATTCAAGACTTATTCTTGGTTGGCTGATAGGATATGGTGGAGTGAAATGAATTATGCCCGTTGGGTCCTACTTTGATCTTACTGACTGGAAAAATGCAGCAACCGTATAACAATTGTTTCCAAGGGGTTGTTGGTTAATTGTGTCGTTAAGTTGGCTAAATTTCACATATCAAGTATTATAAAAGCTGCATCCTGGCATCAGGGTCAAGTTCACTTCATGATGCACTTGCACAGCATTAGCTATGCTGGTAAGTGCACTTGAATCCGTGGCATTTGGCCGCGGTTCAACTCGCATGCAAAAACACCAGCGCTTTGTAAAAAAATTTCCATCCCCAAATACCCCCTAGTTAAAAATAAGAAGTTCGACTCCATGATAATCAGAAATGCAAGCAAACACCACTAAAAAGGTCATGTTTTTCAACTGACGAAATTAGGCCTAACATAACAGAAAATTTAAAGGGATGGTGAATTTCCCGCCAGTTTCAACTGAGCTGCAAGACTTTCCAAGGCTAACAACAAATCTTTGTGATTCCATTGGCAGAGCAATTTGGTTTGACGAACAGCATGCTGTTGCTTGAACATTTTTCCTAGGATGTAAATAAGTCTGGTTCATCAATTCATACACTACTGCTGAGTACAGCCTATATCAGGCCATGGAAGCCAGATGATTCCAGGAGTACTGCTTTAATTTGTTCGGGATGGATGTCCTGGCCTTCCCTGTATTGCTGGAAATACAAAACCATAGGTGATTGTAAATAAACCAAAAGTGGTAACCATAAAATTGAAAGATAAAAATGCTTCACTCAACCTTCTGCATCATAACAAGGAAGGATAAACCATCAATATCATACTTCTGATGACTCTCAATATAAAGACATCTTTTTACTTTTTTAGGGTCAGCAATAAAAAATTATAGCAACTGCAGTGGAAAAAGCGTTAAATGTGTGATTAACACAAACAATCACACAATAATGATAACGAGAATTCTTGAAGGATTATAATATATATATATATATATGGCAAGAGAAGCAAATCAGAAACAAATGACATAGAGCTGCTTGCATGTTCATAGAGGTTAGAATTTCTAAATGGATCAGTGTTATGCCATACACCTCATGCGAAACTTTGACTAATTGCTATCTGACATTCAAATTGTCAAGAAAAATAATGCGTATGGCAGTTTTCTATTTGTTACTTTATGGGAACGGGCAACTTGGTTGTTTAAGACGATATTGTATTGGAATGCTTCCTGTCAAGATCTAACTTTACAAAGTAGAGGAGCATCCATGACAGTGCGAAATTTTACCTCAGCTCGGAAGATATCCATTGCAAAACCATTGAAACAGCTGATGACAGCTTGCTGGATATCTAGTCCAAGGTTGTCTAAAGCCCTCATCGCAGAGAGCAGAAGACCTGGTCTGCGGCCACAAAACATGTGGATGTTTACAGCTCTTCCTTCTCTAACCCTTACTTCAACCTGTATACAAAGCACAGCAAAAATGAATCATTCAGAAGTTCTATAACTTCCTTAAATAACGGCATAACTGTATGTGTAGAGGCAGCCCCTATGGTGAAATCCCATTAACTTCATGACTTAAGTTAAGAAACAAAACATCTTGCATAATAGGAATGCTGAATATGAGAAAGATGGACAATAGGAATTTACCCTTGCAGGCTGTCCATTTGGACTTGGCAATGAGCTGGGGCAAAGTTCATCCTTAATGCGACTGGGCAAGGTAGGGAGAGTTGGTGTCAAAGGGTGCAAGCTTGCAGTTGGTGTCAATGCAGCACTTGAAGGGGATGACTCCAATTCATTATGGAGATCATTGATTCTTTGCAGAAGTTCCTTCAGGTATTCAATTGCATCCCCAAGAATGGAAGCTCTGTCCATCTAACAGTACAAGACAGATACCATTAACCCATTTAAATTTTACTAAGAAGCAAGCTCTATCTAGGCAATGTTTTATGTTTTTATTTCATTCAAGATGGCTTAGATTTTGAATCATTACTCTAAAAACTCAATTACATAAAATACCGTCAAGAAGTAAGAGCAAGTTGATTAGTATGCATGCTTTTCTGTTTTCTGGTCCACAGTTTCACATGTGTTCACGATATCCTTCTACTTCTAGATAGCTTGACATGTAACCTTAGAGAATTGACACAGCAAACAACAAACTAAAGCTCCAAACCGGAAGAGGAGGGAATATTAAAGGGTAATGGTGGTCCCCAAAACAAGGACCGGATAGGACTATCAAAGACAAAAAGAGAACTCAAAACAGCACTAAGAAATGGAATGGAGTCTTGATGCAACAAAATTTTCTGCCATGATGGAAAAAGATCCGCCGGATAACAGAACAGTCCAGCAGAGTACATGTGAGAGAACTTGGAACATCTGAATGGATGGCCCATTATTAGAATTTATTTTGCTGCAAGTGGTCCAAAGAAATAAGGTGAAATTTGAAAGAGTCAAGCAGACTACATGTGAGAGAAATTATTGCAACTTTTTTACAGCATTTGGAACATGTAAAACAAAAGATGCCCCTCATTTACATAATACAGAAATGCAAACCAAATGAACAAAATGAAAAAGAAGGATGTTCATGAGAACCTAAAACACCACAATGATTCATGCTGAAATTCACGAGATAAAAATGAAGGAGAAATTCTTACTTTGCTGATCTTTGGAACAACAGACCGCAGCATGTATAGCCTATCATTGAGTTTCTTTCGGCGGCGCCTCTCAGCCATCAAATTTTTGGCAGGAAGCCCCTTCTTCTTCCCTTTCTGATCTCCCCCAGTGATAGTACTGTTTGCATTTGAGCTATTTCCACCATTTTTAATACTTTCTTCTAACTTAGTGTTCTCAGTGAACTCATCTGAATCATAATTCAAACCTGACCCATCGATGCTCACATCTTCCAAATCATCGCCACAGCTAAATTGTCTCTTCTCATTTTCTTCACCCATTTCCCTCTTTCCTTTATCTCCCTCAAGCCCACTCAAACTTTGATTAAAACTTCCTCCTCCACCTAAGACTCCTAAATTGCCTCCATTTTCAGCTAAATTCTTCCTCAGAGCCACTCTTTTTTGAAAAAGAGTAGGTTGTGCTCCCATAGAAGGTAAAGTTTCCAGGGGCCTTAACAACTTAGACCTATTTAGAAACAGAGCATTTCCAGGGTTCTCCTCAAAACCCCGAAAACCAGTGTACCCGGGACGGTTTTCAGTCAGCTGAAGCATATGGCTAGTTGAATATTGAGCATCAGTACATGGATTAACAGTAGTTATCTGATTACTAGGACTGAAATCAGGGAAGTTACTCAAAACTCCAGTACTTTCCCTGTTCAACAAATTGGAAGCATTTGTTGCTTGGTTCTCAAGAAATCCAATTCCCCCCAAATCAAAACCATGGTCTAAAGGGTTGCTGGAAACGACATTAAAGAGAGGATTTAAGGCAGGTTTAGGAGGCAAAAAGTACTGCACCTGAGATGGGTCAAGATTGTTGAAAACAGAGGAAGGAGAACAAGAAGAGGAAGAATCCATGGGATGCATCAACAAATTCTCCGGGTCACCAAGGTTTGGTGAAAACGAGATGTCCCTCATGTCGTGGTGATTCTGAATCCCAGTATTCCCCATGTACCAATCGTCTTCCACTTCAAGAACGGATTTGAACGTAGAAAGAGAACCCATTTCCTCTTTGTTGGTGTTGGTTCTGTTCCATGAGGCAGCGTCTTCCTCTTCCTTCCCTTCCATCCAAACTGAACTGTTCACTTTGGAGAGCATTGCTGAAAGTCTGAAACTTTCAGATACCCTTTTTGGTTTTGGGGATGCTATGAGATTAAAGTTCTTGACTTTTTCTCGGGAAAGTGAAGAAAAATGAGGGAAGAAAGGCGTTTGTTTTTTGAGCAGTTACAAGAAGCAAAAAGGAGGCAGAAAAGGGGAAAGAAGACGTTGCAGAGGGAAATCGGAAAGCTTTTAAGCTTGATTGGAATCAGCAAAGAGAGAGAGTCTCAAAATGAGAAGAAAAGGACTGAGACGCGTTAGTGTTGGCTGGTTCTGATTTTTCAGGATAGACTACAGGCTGTAATTTTCGCCATCCGTAACACTGGTGCTTGGTGCTTCTTTGTCGGTATTGTTACAAGTGGCAGAGATGGGAGGGAAGAAGTAGCAAAGTAAAGAGCTTCTCAAAATTTTCAAGCTTTTTATGGTACCATTTTTTAAGGCATCATATTTACTAATTTAAGGCAAAAAAGGAAAGTCATTTGAAAGGTTTTAGGTTTCATTTATTAAGTTGAAGAAAATTAGTTTTCTTCTATTTTCCTTTGAAAAAGAAAAGGAGAAGTTGACCAAGAAGAGTTTTATTAGTAGGTATTCACTAATTAAAAAATTTTAAATTTAGATCAAAATTTAAATTTAAATTTTTATCATACTAAATAGTTAATTTTCCGATGTACTTAAAAAAAATGAAAAATGGAAAGTTTGCCTTTGAACTATTTGGGCAGTAAAAGTTTGCCCTTAAATAAAAAGTACCACCTCTGATAAATATTAATTTGTTACAGCAAGAATTTTTAAGTGACAATTTTTTAGATAACATAAGTATTTAAGTCTTTTACCCAATTAATTTCATTAAACCACATCATTCATAAGTATTGGGTAGGTTTCATGTTCCACCTATAAAGGTAATAGGTATGGTTTACTGAAATTGTTTACACTTAATTATCATTGGAGGAATTCTAATCTATATTCCCAACATAGTTCAAATGACTTTTTAATTATTATTTTTAGGTTATGCTTTCTTCTATAATATATAAATGATAATTTGAAATTTTTACCTAGTTTATAATTCTTATTAGATAAGGGTAAAAAAAAAAAATTAAATACGATAAAAAATACTTAAAAATACATGTAACGGTAAATAAAATGTATGTGAGGTAGTGTACACAAACCTTCCCTTATTTTCTGTTCAGGATATATTTCTTATTTTTTCTTGGCAAAACTCTAGTTAAGCCCCCAAAATTTTCCTAGATTCTCAGTTAAACCCCTAAACTTTTATTGAAGCAAATAAACCCTTGAATTTAGTGATTTGAATATTTTAACCTTTTTTTATGGCATATTTAACACTCATTTATATATTACTTGCACAGACAATATCAATACTTATCATGCAGGTAATGACATATCAATATTTTATCTACATAAGTGAGGCATAAATGAGTATTAAGTTTACCGTAAAAAAAAGAGTTAAATTGCTTTGATTATTAAGTTTAGGAATTTATTTACTTTAATAAAAGTTTAAGGGTTTAATTAAAAATTTAGAATAAGTTAGGGACTTAACTTAGGGTTTTACCCTTTTTTTTCTTTTATTTATTTATTTTAATAATATATGTATTAAATAAAATAATTTGTTTACAAAAAAAAATTTCATAACATGATGGGACACAATTTTTATTTTTTTACCAGTGGCATAATTTTTATTAATTCTTTTCATTTGGATGAAAAAACAAATTAATGTACATTCCCCTATGTAATTCTATGTAGTTGTTGTCTTAACAAACCATTTTTGTTACAAAACTACTAATTACTAAAATTATAATATCACATTATAATATGATATGTCATTATATAATTGACTCTTTTTATTCAAGTGTTCATTTATAATATGATGTGTATCAATTCATTTAATACTACGTTATACTCATTTAATATTACATAGAATTGTAGATTTAATATTATGTTATAATTGTAAGTTTATAATTCTACGTAATATTATATCTATAACATTATTAGATACATTATATCATAAATTTATAATATTATGTGGTATTATAATTGTAACATTTAAAAAAAACAATACAATTTAGTTAGCTGTTAAAGAATTAATACTCCTATATATGGTAGTATTTTTGAGTTATAGGGTCCTTTTTTTCTTTAACTTTCTGGGGAAATTTTATGAATTCTCCATCAAAAGTTGAGAAGGCCAGGGGGATTGTGAAGAACCAAACAGGATTGAAACTAGAAGTTACATTGAAACTTTCAAAAGTATGGAAAAGAAAAATATTGAATTCAAAGTTGGAGGGGATTGCAACAGGGTGAAAAGGATGAGTATTCAATCATACATACATGGCTCCCCAAGAATCTCGTGATAGGCTTCATTTCAGTTCACCGCCCCTTCTCTCCACATCAAACCCACTTTCCCTTTTTCCAGGATATCTGCAGGTTGCTCAACAATTACTTCCCCTTCCCCTTAATCCCCTTTTACACTGATATTTCTTTTCTCTTTTCATCTTCCTCTACAATCCTATTATTACTTGAAATTGAACTTTCATATTCAAATCTCAAGATGTGAATTTAGAAAGAAACAAATTATTTACATATTTATATGAATACCCATATCTTACTATCAAGTGGTATTTTGAATTAACTTATATCTGTTAAATTTATACGATAAGTATGACAGTTTTTTTTCCTTTTTTTAACTTTTGTTTCGTAGTATAAACCATTAAGACATGAGAACTATATGCCAATTAACAATGTCCACTTATTGAAATTTTTATTACGTGGCTATGGTTGCAGATTAAAGTATAACAAAGAGTTTATACTGAGAAGAGTCTAGGAAGGGTGGGAGGAGGAAGTGACAAGAATCTTTAATTAGTTTACAGAGTGAGGGTGGGGGAATGAGGAAGGTGTCATTAATGCTTTCTTGTGCATTTCCGTGAGGAGGGGGACAACTTTGATTGGGTTGGTTTCTAACTTGACCTAAACACTATTTGTAAGGAAAATGTTGTGTATTTTACACCACAACTTACGCTGTGTATTTATTGTTGCCTTCATGACTTAATGTGGTAGGTTTTTTGACCTTTTCATGTCTTTTTTTTTTTTTTTTTTTCTAATGTTAAGAGATTTTATTTTATTTGGCTGTTAAGGAATTACTAATTAATAGTTGACAAAACAATTAATATTAATTTAAAATTAATTTATAAACAGATAGTTTTAAACATATAACCACTTGTTTAAGAAAAACACTAAATTGATAAAATCAAACAAACCACACACCGTGAATCTCTTTACAAATTGCAGAAACTTTTTTACGCTTTCACTAGTGTTTGGTTAGGAAGGAAAGCTTTTTCCCAACTTTCACCCCTACTTGGATTTTTCATACTTTAATACTTCAACCA